GAGTGAGGTCATTCTAAAATAAATAGTCTGCCATTTACTATACCTATCATTAAATGTAAAAAGTAAGAAGCACATAATTTTTTGAGTAATACCAGAGGATAAAAGAGAAACTTCTACCTGAGAGGTGTAAGCAAGCATACATGCATGAGTATATATTATTTTTACCAGACTTTACTGAATACCTGCTGTGTCCTTAGTAATGTGCCAAATGATAGGATAAAAGGAAGAATAAGAAATGATTTCTCATAGTTATAGCTGATAGTCTAATAAAGCAGTTTACTTGTTTGTTTGTTTTTTGTTTTTTTGTTTTGAGACATGGTCTCGTTATGTTGCCAGTCTGGTTTTGAACTCTTGGAATCAAGAGATCCTCCTGCCTTGGCCTCCTAAAGTACTGCGGTTACAGGTGTGAGTCACTACATCCAGCCTTACATTTTTTGACAGCTTTAATTTTAGAATGTTTGCTCTATAATAAGTAGAAATCTGCTTCTTTACCTTCATTGATTTTAATTCCTATATTTTAGAATCATAACCAGCCTCATTAACCTTTAGCTTAAAAATCCTTCAGATATTTGAAGATAGCAGTCTTTCCATTCCTTATATGTTGTGTTTTATTTATTTAGTAAATTATGCCTTTATATTAGTCTCTACTCTGAATGCTTTAATGTTTGTTTTGTTTAGGTTGCCACAAATTAAAGGAGAAGCTGAATTAAAGAAGATAAAAGTAGGACGACCACTATCTAGCTCTTTCCATTTTTACCTCTAAGTACTACTTCGAGGTGTAGTATATTGAGCTTTTCCTACCAGAATAGCCTACTGTCATCTTTCTGTCTTTGGAACTTTCTCTCAGGGTTGTCCTTACTCTTTCTAACAATACTGTATTTGTGGTTTGCAATGGACATTTCAGCTAAATTTAATACTATCTGTATATTTGGGCATGCTTCCATTGCTTTATCTTAGTCATCAGTAAAGATTTTCATTACTTTGAATCTTAGGCAAAATATTCAACAACTCCTACAGGTTTACTTAAAGCTATTGATAACTGCTGTTTGGATATATAACTCTCAATCTGTCTGGCTCCCCACCTTACATTTTCATACTCCATTTGGGCAAATTACTTTATTCTTTGTACAGTTTGGAATTCATTTAATACATTCTGAGTAAAATACTCTGATATAATTTTTAAAACATTATTATTAATAAGCACCCTCTGTGTGAACAATGTGCTGGTACATCTAGTGAGAATAACATTGGTTGTAAGGACAGATAGACCTGTAATAAAATCTTGCCTCTACCTTTTGCTTATAGTGAGAACTTGGAATTGTATACTGTTACTGTTTATTTTTAATAGGGACAATAATACTTCACAAGATTGGTTGTGAGAAGCAAGTAAGATAGCACATGTAAAATATAAAGTTCAGTACCTGGTACTTACTAGCCTCAGCAGGTTTTTCTTTCTTTCTCTCCTTTCAGGGTCTAGCTCAAATCTTATTATATCTATGAAACTATTCTTAATGATCTTACTCCCTTTCCTAAATGGTTTCTGTATTAATTTTTATTTTATCAAAGCAATACATTAAAAAGTAGATAAAAATCTAGATAATGCTAAATAACTAACAAAACCAGAAGACAGTGCTCTTCCCCAACCCTTCTTTCCTTCCTGCTGTCCAATTCTAGTCCCCAGAAGCAAAATTAAAAACAAACCCAAAAAACCCAGCTTGATTGAGGTAATTGGTATACAAAACAGACTGTACCCTATTTAAAGTGTACACATTAAATTTTGACATTTGGTTTATACCTGTGAAACCATCACAAGCAAGATAGAATATGTCCTTCACCTCCAAGTTTTATTTTATTCCTTTGTGAGTCCTCCTTCTCCATTAAACTGTCCCACCATTTCTCCCCCAGCAACCGCCGATCTGCTTTCTGTCACTGTAGATTAGTTTGCATTTTCTAGCCTTTTATATGAACTGTTTTAGTCTTGGTCTGCTAATTCTAATATCTGCTCTGGGTTGATTTCAATTGATTATTTTCCTCATGGACCATGTTTCCTGCTTTTTTGTAAGCCTGGTAATCTTTGATTGGATACGAGGTAGTGTGCTTTGCTAGGTGCTGAATAATTTTTGTATTACTATAAATAGTCTTGAATTTTGTTCTGGAATTCATGAAGCTACTGGGAAACAGTTTGATCCTTTTGGATTTTGCTTTTGTGATTTGTTAGATACATCAAGAACAGGGTTCAGTCTAGTACTAGCTATTACCTATTACTGAGGCCAGGCCTTCTTGATTGCTTTATTCAATGTCCAGCAAGATACAAATTTTATTATTTCAGCTTGTGGGAATAGGCACTGTTTCTGGCTATGTGCGAGCACCTGGTACTGTTCCCTCTAATATTTTCACTATGGTTCTTTCCTGGCTTTAGGTAGTTTGCTCATATATATCTGTTGACCAGTCTTCTGCTGAATAGTTAGGGGGCCCTTTATAGATTTCCTGAGTGCTTTCTCTCTGAAGTTGTCTCTCATGTACTGTAGCCCATGAAATCTAGTCACCTTGGTCTTCCTGAACTCTCCACTTTGTTTCCTCATCAGGGAGCCTCATCAGGCTCCCCCTAGATACTCCATCCTTATGCTGCGGCTTGAGTACTCCAGGCTGTAAGTTAGGGGCAATCATAGGGGCCTCCATTTGTTTCTTGGTTTCTTGGGAATCGTTGCCTGATGTCTGTTGTCTTGAAAATAGTTGTTTCATATATTTTGTCTCCCCTCCCCTCCCCTTCCCACTTCGCCTCTCTTCTCCTGATTTCAGGTAAGAGGATAAATCTGGTTCTTGTTTCTTCATCTTGTGTGGAAACAGAAGTCTGACAATAACTATGTATGTATGTATGTATGTATGTATGTATGTATGTATGTATGTATAGAATTGAGTCTCACTATGTTGCTCAGGCTGCTCTAGAACTCCTGGGCTCAAGCAATCCTCCCACCTTAGCCTTCTGAAGTGCTAGGATTACAAGTGTGAACCATTGCCCCTGGGCAGCTGTTTATTTTTTTAATAATTTGGCTCCAGGTTTCTAAATAACTATATTATAGTGCTATTTCTGGATCTGTAAATTTAAGATATTGTCTGTTGTCTTCTAGTTATGGTGGTTTGGGATTTTGCTTTTCTATACCATCCCTGCTTTCTCCACTATATTTTCTCAATAAAGTCAGAGCATAGTTTTTTTTTTATTAAATAAGTGGTTAGGCTGTAACATCAATAATATCAACATGGCTATATAAATAATGTGCGCTGCTAAGCCAAATAGTGTACTCTATGGTAATATAACTTTCTGTGTAGACTACTAAAAATACAAAAATTACCTGGGCATGATGCAGCACCTGTGTTCCCAGCTACTCAGGAGGCTGAGGCAGGAGAATCTCTTGAACCAAGAAGGCAGAGGTTGCAGTGAGCTGAGATCATGCCATTGCACTCCATCCTGGGCAACAGAGGGAGACTCTGTATTTAAAAAAAAATCACCAAAAATTTGTCCACAGAAAATACATGGGGCTAATATTAATATTCCTTATAGAAAAAGTAGCAAAGGGCATGAAATACATTTTATAAGAAAAATACAGATGGCCCTTAAGAACTTAAAATTATACCCATTCTCATTCATTGTAAAAGAAAGAACTATGCGTCCATGTTTTCTTTCACTACTTTTTGGGCCAATAGATGTGTTTATTTTTTGACTTGGCAATCTCATTTTTGTATATCTATTTTACAGATGTACCTGCACTTGTAAATATGTATGGCTCTTCATTGCAGTATTGCATGTGATAGTAAGAATGGGAAATAACCTGAATGTTTACAGTAACAGAGGACTGGTTGAATGAGCTATAGTACAGCTTTTCCAACACTTCTCTCAAATGCCCACTGGCATTTTTTTTTGTTTACAAATTTTTAAATTTATCAAATTGTCTGTCCTTTTCTTTTTTCTTCTTAGAAATTTCTTTCCTGCAGTTCTTGGTTCTTCTGCCGCAATTTGGACTGTGTGGTCTCTTGTCCTTTTGCAGTCTTGAGCCTTTTCTTTACCTCTCTCCTGTGTTTCAGCCCAGGTTTCTTAGCACTCGTGTCATCTTTTCTCATGGTTAATTTCCTTGTTTGAGGTCATTACATTCTACAGTTGATTCTAGAGAAAATATATATGTTGTAAGTATATTATTTTAATCATTGACTGTTTGAAAATGTGTTCCTTTAACTTCTCAGTTAATTGATTATTTGTCTTGATATTAGCGTCTCTGCTGAAAATCGTTCTTTTGAAATTTGGAAAATATTGTGCCACTTTATTCTAATCAGAATCAAATTTATAAACAAAAAAAATGCCATTTCTTTCTCCATTTTACCTACTTATATCTTCTATTGGGGTTTTTACTATTCATTTGCTATTCATGTTTGCACTTTGTTTTTGTGAAGACAGGAGCAAAGATCAAATAAAGATCCATTAATTAAGCCTCCTATGTTTTACTAGAAACAGAAACTAGAAATTAAAACATTACTAGAAAAATGAAATGTTAAAGATACATACAAAATGTAAACTGCAATTTGTTTCTTTTTTTATCCCAGTGACAAAATTAAGCCAATTATATATTCATTTTGTCATACTGCATGCATGGACCAGTTTCAGTGCATCAGTGTAGGCTGCCTTCCCCAACTCATTTTTTACTGTATCTCTGAGGTTCTTCCTGAGATCCTTTCCCTGCTTGTCATCAGAACTTAGAATTTCCTTTAGTGGGTTTGCTGGTGGAAAATTTTTAGTTTCATTTGTCCGAAAGTATCTTTATTTTGTTTGGATTATTGTAAGACATTTTTGGTGAGTACAGAATTTTTTTTTCAGCACCTTGAAAATATCTTCCCAATGTCTTTCTGAGAAGTTACTTGTTTAATTATTGTTAAAGGCTACATGCATGTATCTTTATTTATTAAGTGTTGTTAATTAACCTAAAATATCTTCTTGTGTTTTTCTCTTAAAGGGAATACAGTGAGTAACCTGATCATGATTATACCTCCAATGTTTGGTGCAATTCAGAGTGTTAGAGATGGTCTGGAAAAACGGTACATTGCTTCTTATTTAGCACTCACAGGTATGTATAACACTATATCTAAAGAAATGTACAGTATTCAAATGGTCCATTTTTCTCATTCATTTCTAAAAGCAGTTTTCAATTTTGTGGTATTACATAACTTGAATATATTCTGAAGCTTCTTAGTTAAAACTCCAAAAACCTTGCCAGTGAATTGAACTGCACTTTGAATAAAATATTTTAGAACTTTGGAAATATTTTAGGCATACAAAAAATAGAGATAATATAACATATACCCACATATCTTACTACCCAGCTTGTCAGATCCTAACAGTTTATAATATTTGTTTCAGATATTTTTATTTTTTAAGGTAATTACTAGAGGTAAACTTGAAACTCCTTTGTATTCCTGCCTGATTGTATCCCCCTCAGCCTCACAGTCCATCCCCTAAGAGCTAACCTCAATCCTAAATTTGATGCTTATCATTTTCTCACGTTTTCATGTTTATAGTATGTGTGTATATAGCCTTAAAAGTATACATAGTATAGTTTTGCATAGTTTTAAACCTTTTGGAAAGGATGCCATCTAACCTTTTGTGATTTATATGTGTTCTACTTGTCTGTGAGGTGGAGGATTGTGTCTTAATCATTTTTACATCCCCAATTGTCTGGCAGTTTAGTGGTCCTCAATAAGTACTAGATGGATGGGTAAATCAGCTATACCAGAGCCTAATGTAGTTAAATCACTTCTGCCTTTTGTCATGTTCTTTTATCATCATAATAAAGAAAGAATACCAAATAAAGTGGATTCTTTCTAGTAGTTTCTTTTTTTCCTTTTCTATTCTTTTTTTCTTTTTTGAGACAGAGTCTCACTCTGTCACCCAGGCTGGAGTGCAGTGGTACAGTCTCAGCTCACTGCAGCCTCAACCTCCCAGGCACAAGCAATCCTCCTACCTTCACCTCCCAAGTAGCCGGGACCACAGGCATATGCCACCATGCCTGGCTAATTTTTGTACTTTTTTGTAGAGACAGTATTTCGCCATGTTGCCCAGACTAATCTCAAATTTCTGAGATTAAACAATCCTCCTGCCCTATTTCTTTTTTATAACTCTCTAAAGGCCCTTTTTTTTTTCCTGTTAGTGAGTATTTCCACATTGACAGAAAGGACTTCTAATTATTCCAAAACTGTAAGCTATAGTGAATCATGTCAGATTCTATTTTAGATTATTTATTAGATATGAGAGACTTTAATTTCAGAATCTGTTACTCATATGCATTTTAAGAAAGTTACTTGATTTATCTTCAAAAGGAAGATAATCTAAGTCTACAAACTTATCCCTTTGCTTTTTTCTTGGGTGTTTTCATGATGTTTATAAAACATAAATCACAATCAGTAATGACAATAAGAATAAAAAGATTTAAGGTACTTCTAATTGCCGTAGCATAATGGCAGCCTCCTAAATTAGAGTTTGTCCACTTACTCTCTCACAAAACCATACATATTAATAAGGAAAACAAGTAGAACTACATACAACCCACACTTTCAGCCTTACTAGGAGAAAGAATATTATGAAATTCAATTTATTTTAAAATAAGAAATAAACACCAGATGACAACAGAACTGTTTTCAGTGATTCAGACTTGGAGATGTTTGAAAAACTATATGGAAAAGAGAAGAGAGAACTCAAGGGCCTAATTCTGACAAAAATAGCAATAGAAAGATAAAACTCCACAATAAAGGCAGAATCTAGGAAAGCCATCTAAGATCTGGTGGATCACAGTACTATCTAAAGGTAAAAGACCTGAAAGTCTGTCAGACCTAAGGTGGCAGTTTTAGAAAGGCATTACTTCTAGGAAAAAGATAAGTAGAAAAGGGGAGGTGCCTTTGGAGATATGTTAGTGAGAGGAAAGAAGAAAGTTTGGGAGAATTAAGATTCTATGGAAGCTATCTGGGAAAGAGGACCAAATAGGAACAGCTCTGGTCTGCAGCTCCCAGCAAGATTGACACAGAAGGTGGGTGATTCCTGCATTTCCAACTGAGGTACCCAGTTCAACTCATCGGGACCGGTTGGATAGTGGGTGTAGCCCATGGAGAGCGAGCCAAAACAGGATGGGGTGCTGTCTCACTCTAGAAGTGCAAGGGGTCAGGGGATTTCCCTTTCCTAGCCAAGGGAAGCTACAAGAGACTGTACCAGGAAAAATGGTGCATTCCGGTTCAGATACTCTGCATTACCCATGGTCTTCACAACCGGCATACCAGGAGATTCTCTCTCATGCCTGGCTTGGCAGGTCCCACCTGCACAGAGCCCAAGAAGCTAAAATCCACTGGCTTGAAATGATTGCTGCTAGCACAGCAGTCTGAGGTTGGCCTGGGATGTCAGCTTGGTGTGGGAAGGGGCATCCGCCATTGCGGAGGATTAAATAGGTGGTTTCACCCTCACAATGCAAACAAAGCCACCAGGAAATTTGAACTGGGTGGAGCCCACCACAGCTCCCTGGGACAGAGCACCTGAGGGAAGGGGTAGCTGTGGGTGCAGCTTCAGCAGACTTAAATGCCCCTGACTGACAGCTCTGAAGAGAGCAGCAGTTCTCCCAGCACAGTGTTCAAGCTCTGATAAGGGACAGACTGCCTCCTCAAGTGAGTCCCTGACCCTCATGTATCCGGACTGGTAGATACCTCCCAGTACAGGCCGACAGACACCTCATACAGGAGAGCTCTGGTTAGCATCTGGTGGGTGCCCCTCCGTGATGAACCTTCCAGAGGTAGGAACAGGCAGCAATCCTTGTTGTTCTACAGCCTCTGTTAGTGATATCCAGGCAAATTCTGCTGATGATATCCAGGCAAACAGATTCTGGAGTGGACGTCCAGCAGACTCCAGCAGACCTGCAGCAGAGGGGCCTGAATGTTAGAAGGAAAACTGACAAACAGAAAGGAATAGTATCAATATCACCAACATCAAAGACCAAAGGTAGAGAAATCCACAAGGATGAAGAGAAACTAGCACAAAAGGACTGAAAATTCCAAAAGCCAGAATACCTCTTCTCCTCCAAAGAATAACAACTCCTCACCAGCAAGAGAACAAAACTGACCAGAGAATGTGTTTGACAAATTGACAGAAGTAGGCATCAGAAGGTGGGTAATAACAAACTCCTCCAAGCTAAAGGAGCATGTTCTAACCCAATGCAAGGAAGCTAAGAACCTGGAAAAAATGTTAGACAAATTGCTAACTAGAATAACCTGCTTAGAGAAGAACATAAATGACCTGATGGAGCTGAAAAATACAGCACAAGAACTTCGTGAAGCATACACAAGTATCAATAGCCAAATCAATCAAGCAGAATAAAGGATATCAGAGATTGAAGATCAACTCAATGAAATCAAGTGAGAAGACAAGATTAGAGAAAAAAGAGTGAAAAGAAATGAACAAAGCCTCCAAGAAACATGGGACTATGTGAAAAGGCCCTATCTATGTTTGATTGGTATACCAGAGAGTGATGGAGAAAATGGAACCAACTTGGAAAACACTCTTCAGAATATTATACGGGAGATCTTCCCCAACCTAGCAAGGCAGGCCAAAATTCAAATTCAGAAAATAAAGAGAACACCACAAAGATATTCCTCGAGAAGAGCAACCCCAAGACACATAATCGTCAGATTCACCAGTGTTGAAATGAAGGAAAAAATGTTAAGGACAGCCAGAAAGAAAGGTCAGGTTACTCACAAAGGGAAGCCTATCAGACTAACAGTGGCTCTCTCGGCAGAAACCCTACAAGCCAGAAGAGAGTGGGGTCCAATATTCAACATTTATAAAGAAAATAATTTTGAAGCCAGAATTTCATATCCAGCCAAACTAAGCTTCATAAGCAAAGGAGAAAAAAAATCCTTTACAGACAAGCAAATGCTGAGAGATTTTTGTCACCACTAGACCTGCCTTATAAGAGCTCCTGAAGGAAGCAGTAAAGACAGAAAGGAACAACTGGTACCATCCACTGCAAAAATATACAAAATTGTAAAGACCATTGACACTATGAAGAAACTGCATCAACTAATGGACAAAATAACCAGCTAGCATCATAATGACCGGATTAGATTCACACGTAACAATATTAACCTTAAATGTAAATGGGCTAAATGCCCCAATTAAAAGACCCAGACTGGCAAATTGGATAAAGAGTCAAGACTCATTGGTGTGTTGTGTTCAGGAGACTCATCTCACATGTAAAGACACACATAGGTTCAAAATAAAGGTTTGAAGGAAAACTTGCCAAGCAAATAATAATAATAATAAAATAAAAAATAAAAGCAAGGGTTGTAATCCTAGTCTCTGATAAAACAGGCTTTAAACCAACAAAGATCATAAGAGACAAAGAAGGGAATTACATAATGATAAAGGGATTAATGCAACAGGAGGAGCTAACTATTCTAAATACACACACACACACACACACACACACACACATATATATATATCTCCCCAATACAGGAGCACTCAAATTCATAAAGCAAGTTCTTAAAGACCTACAAAGAGACTTAGACTCCCACACAATAATAGTGGGAGACCTAATACCCGAATGTCAATATTAGACAGATCAACAAGACAGAAAATTAACAAGGATATCCAGGACTTGAACTCAGCTCTGGACAAGCAGACCTAGCAGACATCTACAGAACTCTTCACACTGGATCAAGAATATACATTCTTCTCAGCACCACATTGCACTTATTCTAAAATTGACCACATAATTGGAAGTAAAACACTCCTCAGCAAATGCAAAAGAATGGAAATCATAATGAACAGTCTCTCAGACCACAGTGCAATCAAATTAGAACTCAGGATTAAGAAACTCACTCAAAACTGCACAACTACATGGAAACTGAACAATCTGCTCCCAAATGACTACTGGGTAAATAACAAAATGAAGGCAGAAATAAAGGTATTCTTTGAAACCAGTGAGAACAAAGATGCAACATATCAGAATCTCTGGGAATATTTAAAGCAGTGTGTAGAGGAAAATTTATAGCACTAAATACCCACAAGGGAAAGTGGGCAAAACTCTAA